TCGGTATAACGACATATTGCTTGTCGGATTTGCTGAACTAGCACCCAATCACTCATCCTCGAATACTAGGTTTCTCCTCAAATGTGGGAGGAGCCCAGTCTATCAGCTTCGCATAGGCGAGGCACCGCCTCAACTACCTCGATGAGGTTACACGTTTATGCGATACGTTTCCTATGCTTATGAGCGGAGGGAACCCACAACTAAGCAGACATCTTTATTTTGGCTCGGGCCCACAACGGAAGGGCTCTGTATCCTCTCAGAAGACAAGGTCTCTAGGCGATGGTACAATCAAGAGCAGAAAACAAGGGTGGCGAGTTTCTGAGGAAGGGGGGAGTGGGATAGGATATCCCTCATGTTACCTTTAGTCTACCGCGGTGGACACGAATGAAATGAAATGGATGTTGGTTTTCCTGGCTTCCAAAAAGCTGTGCCTTGCTACCATGGTGAAATATGGTGATGTGATTTGTGCATTCCCTGATGATTGCTTGAACGGTCAATTCATGTCAACTGTCTTAATGAGAAAGAGACAGTCTTTCACTCCATCAACGATATTATTATAATCCACGAGACGGTTTCTGTCAATTGGAATACGCGAAAAAGATCTGTCGATGATACTCGTTGAGTTTTGTGTGATTTGGTTCCACGATAGATCCAGAGTACATATATACATAGACCATCCGGCTCAGTCAGCCAACTGCCCTCACCCCTTTCCCGCCTGCATCTTCCTTCTCTCCCTCATCCACATCGTATGCACAACCCACGGAGAGGTAAGAAGAGGGAAAGCCAAGAAGAGGCCATTTATGGGAATTGTTGCACCCGCCCCTGGTTCAACACCAAAGAACGCCACGCTGGCAACAGAATGTGCAAGAAAAGGGGGGGAGGGGGGGGGGTTAAGGAAAGCTGACAGTGAGATGGGTAAAAATCCATTCGAGAGGCAAAATTTCCGCATCTCCCTTCCATTTACGCCTTTCAACTCAATGCTTATCCTTGTCCTTGTGGCTCTTCTTCATACCCAAAAAGTTGCGCTTCTTCTTATCCTTCTCCAGCTTTTGCGGTTTGCCGCCGTCAGACGGGGCAGGTGACGCTCCGCCGCCATTCGCCACGGGCGGAAGAGGCGCGTTGAGGTTCATATTGCTCATCTGAGCCGTTGGCGGCGCGGCGGGACGCCCAGGTAAACCGCCTGGCGCAGGTGCTCTGCGTGGTCCACCCGTCGGTGACGGTGCGCCCGGCGGTGCCATACCAGGGGCAGGGCGTTGCGCCATAGGGTTGGGCGGAGGGGCAGGCTTCTCATAAACCCACGCGGGAGCACGCGGTGTCGGTCGCTCCATTGGTATGTCGAGCGTGCGCTTGTCCTTGCCCAAATCGCCTACTTGGCGGACGTAAAGTTGAGGTGTGAGCATGTGGCTCGTCACCAGGAAGATGTCCTTGCCTTGGCGGGCGGAAACGTCGTAGCAAGCACGGCTCTCGCTGTATGTTGCGCCACCAGCCATGAAAACAATAAAGCGCTGTCGATTTTCAGGTGGTCGTCGGCCAGATGATGCCCAATTCGGCCTACCGGCACGCAATGAGCCTTGTTGTGAGGCCAAGAGGTCCTCGTTGGGATCAGCTGGTGGCTTCACGTAAGGGAATGTGGTTTGATCGAGAGTGCCTCGGCAGAGTTCGTCAAGCATCGTCTGCATAGCCGTCTCGAAACGTGATAGCGAGTATTCCTCGCTGATCTCTGCTGCTTTGGTGTTCTTTTGGAACAGGGGCGGTTGAGGAGGTCGAACGTCTTTTAGGCCACCACGCACCGGGTGTCCGCCCAGCATCTCGAGGTTGACTACTATTTCCCCGTCTCCTTGCGGCAGGCCCGAATGCGCGAGCAACCGGTTGATATCCTCCATCACAACACCGTCTCTATACAGCACGTAGAGAATGATCAGGCGCAATCTGTCTGATGGGGTGATGGCGTCGTCGTCCAGAAGCCGCACGACTTGGTCCAATATGTTTTTAGGCTTCCTGAAGTCCTCGTCCAATCCTGTGGCAAGAGTCTGCTCTACCGAAGCAATGTCTGGCAGCTTGTGATCTTGGAATTTGTTCATGGCTTCTTGCGCCAGACTCAGATGAAGCGAGTACGCCTCCTTCATCTCTTGGAACTGCGGCAAACCAGCCAGCATGTCTCTGATGGCGTTCAAGCTCGTCGTCTCCTGCTCCTCGTTGGTGAAATTAGGGTTAGACTCCAAGAACTTCCGGAAGTCTCCCATTAGTTTATCAATAGTATCTTTCATGTGTCGGTGTCGGTTGTCGACCCAGACCGGATCCTTGTCAGATAGCTCCACGTCTTTCTCTTCCTCTTGTGCGGTGCCCTCGTTTGTGACCATGCGATACGTCACCTTGTCCCCATCTTGTATCGGGAGAAGGTCGTGGGCCATTGCCTGATATGTGAACTCGTGAACCAGAGGCGCCAAGATATCCATTGATCTGTCCGTGATGACGAGCGTTCCCACGGGCCGCGACGACTGTGGTGGAAAGTTTGGGTTCCACTGCGCATATTCGTCCAACTCCTCCTGCACGAAACGAGCTAGATGAGAGGCAAGCACGGCGGCTTCATGGAGAGGGCTCTTCGGTCTGTAGTATCGGACTTTTGGGTACTCGCCAAGTGTAACGCACACGCCGGTGATCTGATCTACTCGTCAGCAAGGCAAGTTGTGTAGCCTGCCATCTGTCTGTTACGAACCTTCTGTGCTAGAATCTTCATGTGTCGCGCCACCAAATTGTTGCACGCGGGGTGGTAAAGAATTGGAAAGCTCCAAGGGTCTTTGAAGGTGATCAAATGCGACTCCCGAGGGAAGAAATCGATCGACAAGGTTTCGAACCCCGCGATGCGTTGCTTGGCCGGCGGACAGCCATCAATCATGCGACGGATCCTCGGATCCAAGACACCGGTCCACACCAGGTACGCTTCCTTGTATCTGCGGCGCTCAAAGTCGTTGATAAGGATTTCGACGATATTCTCTTTCGGGGACAGAATGTAGATGGCGTCCATTTCAGGATTCATATCTCGCTTCTGCTCGATTCGCTCGATGTCTAGAGGGAGGTTAGGACTTGTACCGTGGCAAGGAGGAAACGTGGCCGCGCGACATACTGGCGATGTTGTTGTTGAGAATGTCATCTTCCTTGACAACGTTGTCTATAATCTTGTGGGAGTCGTCGTCAACAACTAAGACTTTCCACTATGGGTTTCGTCATGGTTAGCTTGTTGACTCGCAGGCAGCCCGCCAGGTATCGGGTGGATCTCACGTCGCCTCGTGTAATGTTCTTGATTGTGTCGATGATGACTGTCCAAATTGTCAGTATCGAGAGCGGAAGAGGCTTGCAGAGCATCATGGGCTCTCGGGCTTTGAGCCAGCTCACCGTCATGCTGCTCCTGGAGCGTGGAGACACCCATCGTGGCAAGTTGCCGCGTGGGCAGCGGACAACTGGCAATGCGTCGTGTAAGGGAAGCGGAATTTGTCGCTCTGAGGTAGAAGGTTGTCGGACGGCGACTGTGATCGAGCGACGACGATGGGCGGGTGCGCCTGTGTAAATTGAGGTGCTACACAGATAGCGTGGCAGCGGAGTAAAGAAAGGCGGACAAGGCTGGAGGAATGCGCGTTGTCGAGCTTTATGAATCGTGGGGCCCAGGTCCTGGAGAATGAGACGTCGGGTGGAATTCGAGAGCCACCAGGTATGTATGTTTAGCTGGGAGATTGGTGGTTGTTGTCTTGGACTTCGTTGTCGTCGTTGTTTGGGCCTGGCGGGGTTTCAAGATGAACGAAGGACCGGTCGCAGTTGTGGGACTTTCAATGCTCCGAAGACCCAAACCGGAGCTTGGGGAAGGGGGAAAGGAAGCAAGGCAAGGTCTGGCAGGGTACGTTGCTATGCGGTCAGACAGCTTTGTCGTGGTATGGTGGTGGTGGTGGTAGTGGCAGGTGAGGTGGGTGGGTGGGTGAGGTGAGTTGGAGGAGTTACGATCGGAAGAGGCAAGATTGGTCGAGCTCGCACAGCACTAGGAGCTGTGTTACTATGTAGTAGGAGGGATGCCTGCAGTGGGAAACGTGAGTTATCTGGTCTATCGTCGAGGTTGAGCGGAAGAAGGTAAACGCAATGACCTGATGCGACTGGAAGTCAAAAGGCCGGCAGGTTCAAGGCTTGGAAAGACAGAGGTAGAAGAACGGGAGAGGCAGGTAGTTCCACGTCCCAGTCCCCGTTCCCAGTTCCATTTCTGGTTCCATTTCCCGTTCCACTGCGCACCGCACCGCTACTTTCCTCAGTACTCCCGCCCGCGCTTCAAGTTGAGGCCCAGGAGGGGGGGCGGGGCCCGGGCAAGCAGGGCCGTAAGGTACTCCGTAGTCCTGGGCTCCCCATTGGAACTGGCCTGACCCCTCGCCCAAAATGCTATGCAACACAAATCCTGGTACGGATACTGCCCAGCACCTTAGGACAGGTACTTGGAGGTACTTAGGTAGCCTAGTGCCCTACCTACCTACCTTACATACACAGTCAGGTAGGTAGTGCAGCGGCATTCCCCCACTTTTGGCCCCCAAAGGAGCGATGAATGAGGTCACCGCCTTCCAGGTTCGCACCTGCACCTCACAACGGCGGCGCTTTTTGAAGATGCGGCGGCGGCACGGCGGGAGATATTCTCGTAGCCTCCCCGTCGCAAGGATGATGGTTGTTTGCTCAAGACAATCCCTTGTGTGTTTCAAAGCCAATCTCTTACCCGTCTCTTCGTCAGCTTTACCTATTCCACTCCATGGCCAAGCCATTGTTCTTTGTGATGGTCGTTTTTGGATATTACGAGTGTGAACTGCGGTAATTTGGCAGTATTTGGAAGTCTTGTAATAGTTGTACAAGGCGAATTCACTTGATCAAGGTCCAAGACCGTATATCTGTAAATTAAAGCGGTTTTTGATAGGCTCAAGTTTCGTTATTCGTCCTCCATTACGGGTATCTCATTGCTTCTCATGACTCCTATCCCCTTATGAACCGGTCCCCAGGTATTTGTCAATGTCTTCGCTGGCGTAAAACATCTCTCGCAACCTCTCAGCCTTTCTCTTGTCTTCATCGGCCTTCTTTCTGCATTGCTTCGCATCCAGCATCTGCGGCTTCTTCTTTTCAATTCTTCCCTGGATGCCTTTTGGGATCTTGAGGCCCAAACCGTATTTGTCCTCCTTTGGTCGAGTCTTCAGGGGATACTGCATGCCTTGCTCTTCGGCACCGAGCCCCTTGCGTGAATCAGGGTCCCAGCCATGGGATGAAAGATATGTCAAGCCCATGCGCGACCGATCTAGTGCTGATGGGGGATGTGAGTGTGTGAGGCAGACTTGGTGAGCAATCGAAGACTCATGCTGCTTTTGTCTACTTGTCGTGGGCTTGTTATTGTCATTGCCGACCTCTCTCACGCCGTCGTCTTTATCCACGGGCAACTCGCACACGGCGCATACTTGCCCTGCTGCTGGCGAAGGCTTTTCGGCTTCCGCTTGCTTCTTGTCGCCGAGCACGAGGCTGAGGTAAAAGTCGCCAACGGAAGCGCCGCTTTTTGTTTTATTGGCCGCCTGTGTAGTACTCAGGTTCGGATCTGATGCCTTGACGAACTGGATGGGCTTGCGGCTGATTCCCGCGCCAAAGGGTCGTCGATGTTGAAGCGGTACATCCTCTTCCTCTTCATAGTCCTCGTCGTCTTCCACCCGTCGCCGCATTTCGGCAATACTTGCACAGCACACTTGCCACCACCTGTTCCTCAGCAAGTGCACTCGTGGAGGAGAACTCGAGTTATGTCGAGTGTTGCCGTCTGCTAGTGCAATGATATGGTGAGATGAAGGGGCAGGGTGATGGAGGAACGGTTGATGAAGAAGTTCCACTTCTTCGACAAGGGGGCGAGACCAACCCCATTATGTCAGCGAGGCAGCCAGCGGCGGCCTCAATCCCCTGCAAACTCTGCGATTAGTGCCCCTGGATTCTGGAAGCCACCGCCGCTGGGCTGCCGCCAGAGTGGGACCGCCCCTGTCATCGCAATTCGGAAATCCCTTGGCGGCACATCAGCTTTCCACTCTGTTCTAGAAGGCAAGCTGGCGGCTTCGTCACACACTCGAACAACTTACGCATATTTCCTACGCACGCAAAGGCAAACGCTCACATTGACCGGCCTGCTTTCTCAACGACCTTGTCCACGACACTGCAACGAGTCCGAGTCGTCCGCCCATACGAATACGCCTTCGAAGCATTGCTACCCCAGCATGCTCGACAGTCGCCCATAGACACGCCTTTTCTCCAGCTTTAACCCTGTCACTCGCTTGCAATGCCTCTCGATTACTTTGGCTACATCGCCGAAGCCGGCCTCCCGACATATGTGACGGAGAACTGGTGGTTCATACTCAAGACCGCCGCGGCGGTAGCGGTCCTCGTCTTCATCAAGCTATGGAGCTCGGGTGCTTCCAACACGGCCGAGCGAGACATGCACGGGAGGGTAGTCATGATAACGGGCGGGACGTCGGGCATAGGAGCGACGACGGTGCTAGAGCTCGGCAGCCGCGGCGCACAAATCATCCTCCTCACGCACACCCCCGTGTCGGACCCCTTCCTGGTCGAGTACATTGGCGACGTGCGCGCCCGGACCGGCAACGAGCTCATCTACGCCGAGCATGTCGACCTCTCGTCCCTGCACAGCATCCGAAAGTTTGCGACGAAGTGGATCGACAACTCCCCGCCGCGCCGGATCGACATGATTATCCTCGCCGCTGCCACAATCACCCCGGCGTCGGCTAAGCGTAAGGAGACGGTCGAGGGCATCGAGGAGACGTGGATGGTCAACTACCTCGCCAACTTCCACCTGCTCTCCATCCTCAGCCCCGCCATCAAGGCCCAGCCCTGGGACCGCGACGTGCGCATCATCTTCGCCTCGTGCTCATCCTACATCGGCTCCCCGTCCCTCAAGGAACCCCTCGACAAGAAGACGTGGTCGCCGGGTACGGCCTACAAGCGCAGCAAGCTGGCGCTCATGGTCTTCGGCCAGGCCTTCCAGAAGCACCTCGACAACTACAAGCGGCCCGACCAGCTGCCCATGAACGCGCGCGTCTTCTTCGTCGACCCGGGCTTCAGCCGCACGCCGGGCATGCGTCGCTGGCTTTCGCGGGGCTCGCTGCTCGGCCTGTTCGCCTACATTGCCGCCTACCCGCTGCCGTGGCTCTTCCTCAAGAGCCCGGAGCAGGGCGCGCAGGCGATCCTGTACGCGGCCATGGAGTCTAGTCTCGTGCGCGCGGGCGCCGGCAAGCTGATCAAGGAGTGCCGGATCGTGGACTTTGCGCGGACGGAGATTGAGGACGACGAGGTGGCCAAGAAGCTGTGGGAGGAGAGCGATAAGCTCATTGAGACGACGGAAAAGGACTCGGCTGCTCTCAGGGCGCTGGAGAAGAAGATGGAGGAGGAAAGGGCCAAGGAGGCCAAGGAGGCGGAGAAGGTGAAGGAGGTCGAGTCTCTAGTTGAGGCTATCAAGAAGGGCAAGGAGTCGCAAAAGGCAAAGAGTAAAAAGAAGTCCAAGAGGGAGACATCATAAAAGCCTTGGAGGCGTTTGGATGCCATCTATATAGATTACCTACTTAATGAGAAAGCAAGTGGCTGCTAACACAGTCACTTGCGCGCTATATGCATCTTTCCCGGGAACATCAACTTACTTTGGCTTTATAAAGTATTGACTATTGGATTTATGTTAGACCAAAATCCAATAGGAAAGGAAGAAGCAGGAATACTGGTCTTATAATTCATGCCCCTGGCCGGACTCGAACAGCCCGCCCCTCAGTCAACCCGAACTCTGACTTCATATATTTGTTAATTTTAACCAATCCGACCACCTCGCACACAGCTTGACCTGGTATCGCCGACCTAGACGGGCGCTGATGTGCTGGTGACGGGAATGGGATTGGAGGGGAGCTATATACCTTGCCTTTGGGACTCGGACTCTTTCTCACCGTTGAGCTCCAAAAGTCCGGGGGGCCCGCCCCCACCCTTCACGGTGCAAGTGCCGTGGCCTCGGGTGCCATTACCCCAAGACTTGGAGCTCGGCGAGCAAAGGGGGGGGGGGGGGGTAAAAGTTGCGCGTGTGTAATCTTTCCCCGCAAGGAATAACATGACGACAGAATCTCAAATCAACATACGCTCTTGTAAAAGATGCCGACCTTGAAGTGAAGCTTTAACAGCCTCCTGTTCTCGAACCATTTGAAGGACAAGTCACACATAATTCTTTTCTGAGCTACTCGGCAGATACAATGTCCAACGCCGCGACGTCATTAGGCATGGCGCATCACACCGCAACAGCCGCGACATCACTACCTCGGCATCACGCCGTCGCTGAGACAGGAATGGCGCAGCGGCAGCACTATCATCAGCAGCATCAACAGCACCACCAGCACCACCAGCAGCATAACTCATCAATTCGGCATCCCGTCTTCTTCACGGAGAAGCTGCGGCGGCCGCCAGTCACCCTGGCGCCTGGCATGGGCCTCAGTCCCGTAGCGCACGGCTACGTCTATCAGGATGGGCGGAGGAGGCTGACGGCAGAGGGAAATTCTGCGCCGAAGCTGTGATGGGAGTGGGATTGAGTGTGGTTCAAGTTTTACACTTTTTTCTCAGTTGGACGAGCAATGCTTATCGAAGCTTCGTGGGGGAGAGCAGTAATGTCAGTTTTGTGAGGCTAGTGTAGTTGAATACCTAGTCTTTGCCGAAGCCGACGAGGTGAATAGGTGCTTTGGAGGAGAGGCTGCTAGAGGCGGCTTCTGTTCAGTCTGATAGATGGCGAATACCCTCATGCCGCTTCAGACTTGTTCATTTTCTTGGGTCAAATTTCATTTATCATGGCTTCTCGCGCAAAGCTGATGGGCGCTACCTACGTAGGGTGGCTATCACCCGTCTTAAAGTATTGGGGGGAAGGAAGAGCAGTCAGGAGGATTACGGAGTGGTTGATTGAGAGCTGTAATGCTCGAGAGTCAGCGACTCCTGTGTGTTCAAGACATGACTGATGAGCAGGAGAATCACGAGGTCCCTGAGAAGTTCAAGTTGTCTGAACTGACTAGACATCCATCTAGGATAGTACGCAGTGCCCAGAAAGGAAACGAAGGGAGGACAGGCGAGGCAAAAGGTGCAGTGAAGCTCAAGGGATGTGGTGTGTCAGGTACCACTAGGTTACAATGGCCTCTCTAGGACAAAAGTGTACATACTAGAGAGCATCGGCATGGAATATGGATCGATGAGATTTGGCTTTGAATGGGCTATGGATGTCTGGTCATGAACTGCCTGGAATTATCTATCTCTCGTGCCGCTTCTCTGTCAATTTCTGGTGGGACCATTTCTGATTTTGTCTTGCCGATTTATATTCGGCTTCGGATGTGCTACCCAGTACGTTGAAATTGTTCGGCTCAAATGATAGAAGCTGAACAGGATTACTCAACCCTCCTAATCATTATCTCATTACCATTATCATATACTCAAGATAAACTGAATCCATCTTCAGAGAAGGGCCGCGTTCTAAGCACTTGCATACACGAGTGATGAGTGGAAATGAATTGATTAATTTACTTGTATTTCGATGTGGTTCCTGAACCCACAAGTGACAGTTTAGGAGATGTGTGGTTGAGTGTACCCCCATCGAGGGTTTCTTCATAACGAAAATTCAAAGCCTCCGTCGTTTTGTTTCCCCAAAAAAGTTGCGTTTCCCGTTTCGCCATTTCAAGCCAAACCATTTGCCCAATTTGACTAGCAGCACTCTACACCATCGAAACACGTCGCGTTCATGTGTACATAGCCCCGTGCCCGCTACACGAAGCCAATTCGAAGCCAAACTCTCCAAACCTAGCACCAGGCGAAAACAGTTGTCCTGCTTGCTTTTAGTTCTTCACCGCAATCACAATGGCGAGTACGATGAGCACCACGACCAGCGTGAGGAGCGCCATCAGCTTGACGTTCTTCCACCACATCTTTCTCTTGAGACCGCGACTGCGGACGCGGAACTCGCGCGCGCTGCCGCCGAGACGGTCCGTCTTGTCGACGAGCAAGTCGATGCGCTCGCCCCTCTCGAGCAAGCCCTCGATATTGCGCGTCATGATGCCCCGGACATCGTCGATCTCGCGCTGGACGTTGGAGATTGCGTCGTCCTTGCCGCCGCTCGTGGTGCCGAAGTCGACCATGAACTTCTTGAGCTGGCCATTGTAGCTGGCGGCGCCGTAGTTGGGCAGCTCGGCGTAATCGGTCGTCTCGGCGGGGAACTGCTCGAGGAAGCGGCGGCGGATCTCAAAGAGGAAACCAAAGGGGATGCGGCGGCCCAGCGAGGCGTCGGCGATGACGAGGAAGGTGAGGCCGCCGGCGGAGGGGTGGTCTGGGTGATCGGAGGGCGCCTCGGCGATGTAGTGGATGTGGTGCGAGCCGTGGGTGTAGGTCAGCTTCTGGGGGGTATTGTGCTCGATTTTGGGGAGGATGACGGAGGCGAGGGAAGAGGTTTGCGATACGGCCGATGTGGTGCATTCGCTGAGGATGGTGTTGTTGTGCGCTATGCACGAGCTATAGGACAACGGCATGTCAGTAATGTGTCCAACAGAGGGGGGAGATTCGAGCCGGGAGGGAAAGGTCGTGGCCGTCTTCTTACTAGAGCAACGGGGTGATAGGCGTCGATGAAGAAGCCATGATGATAGGTATTGGGGTGTCCAAAGGATCTAAGGGGCCTATCTTGAGATGCTTTCGATTCCTTTTCAATACACCGAAGGGGGAATAGGCAACGATATTCGAGATGCGACGGCGGGTTGCGTACGTTCGTAGGTGGTGTAGACGGGTCGGAAGTCGGCGTGATGGGCGCTGTCGCAGAATGCAATGTGGGAACCTGGGGACCTGGGGATCTGGATGCGTGATGACGACGAGGACGGTGCAATCGGAGGCGGAGGCGCTAAGTCGGAGTGGGGCGACCCACGTTCACCTGCCAAGGGCGAATCAGGGGTCATGGCGATAAGCATTCCAGACCTCTTATCGGTTCCCAAAAATTTCCCAGTGCCTTCATGGATGTCAGTGACCACCATGCTCCACCCACTGCATAGGTGCACGACTGCGAACGGAGAGTAGCACGTAGACGATCTTGTCATTGACATACCCAAACAGGCATGCTTTTTGCATGTTATTAGCCATGGTTTGTTGCGCAGCAATTCGCCCACCATGAGATCAGTTTTGCGGGCCACGAAGCTCTGCGCGGCGGCGACACGTCTTGCGCCAGGCCATGGCTTCGCAACATCCTCTCCGTCCGCCTACCAGGTACGCGGCAGCTTCTGCCTCCCTATTCCACTTACCGGACACATTCTGACCATTGTACTTTGCAGGCGACACTTGAAAGGTATTCTACCAGGAAATACTCACCTCCCGACCGCAAAACATCCAAATACGACGTCTTCAGGAACATGATTCTCACTCAGTTCAACGTCGTCGTTGACAACATGGGACGTTGGTCAGAGACCAATACCGAGTACCGAAACTTTGGGGTTCGAAGCGAGTATGGCCTCAATAACGAAATCGCCCTATTCCGCGACACCATACAAAAAGCCATCAGCTTGGCCAACAAGGGTGCAACATTACGCAAGGAGAACCCGTTGTTCTGGTCCCTACGAAACGCCTTCATCCGTGGCGACGTCAAGGGCCTGACGGCAGAGCTGCGATACTCGTTCCAGAGCTTCATGCTGCGATCGAAATTGACACACTCGACGGCGCGGCAGAGGAAGTTGGCTGATTTGCGGTATCCCATGGAGTGGTTTCCCGCCACACGAGCCATGCAGCGCACAATTCACTTGCACGTCGGACCGACGAACTCTGGAAAGACATATCGGGCGTTGCAGGCTCTGATGAACTCCAAGTCCGGTATTTACGGAGGGCCTCTTCGTCTCCTGGCCCACGAGATCTACTCTCGGTTCCAGGCCAACGGGAAGCCTTGCGCCATGATCACAGGCGAGGAGCAGCGCATACCGGACGCCGATAATTACTTCATCAGCTGCACCGTTGAGATGACACCTCTGAATCGAGTTGTTGATGTGGCGGTTATAGATGAGATTCAGATGATTGGTCACGATGAACGAGGGTGGGCGTGGACTCAGGCACTCCTCGGCGTCATGGCGAAAGAAGTCCATCTCTGTGGCGAAGAACGAGTTGTCGACCTCATTAAGTCCATCTGCTCAAGTATCGGCGATAAGTGCATTGTTCATCGGTATGAAAGACTCAGTCCGTTGCAAACGATGGAGAAGAGTCTCGGCAACGATCTTTCCAATCTGGAAAAGGGCGATGCCGTTGTGGCTTTCACGCGTGTCAACCTTCACGGTCTGAAGAACGCCATCGAGGAGACAACCGGCCGTCGATGCGCGATTGTCTACGGTTCACTGCCACCTGAGACCCGTGCGCAGCAGGCAGCTCTGTTCAACGACCCCAACAATGACTACGATTTCTTGGTGGCTAGCGATGCCATCGGCATGGGCCTGAACCTGGAGATCAAACGCGTCATCTTTGAGACGTCAATGAAGCACGACGGTACACAGTATCGTACGCTGACGACATCCGAAATCAAACAGATTGGTGGCAGAGCAGGAAGATACAAGACTGCTCGGCAGGCAGCTACTGCAACGAGTGATGAAGCCAACCAAGTTGAAGAGAAGAAGGTTGGCTACGTTACAACGCTTGCTGACGAGGATCTGCCCGCGATTGCAAAGGGGTTCAACACTGAAACGGCACCGCTCGAGGCTGCAGGTATTCACCCCCCATCGCACATTATCGAGCAGTTCGCCGAATACTTCCCTCCCGATACGCCTCTCAGCTTTATCCTCTTGCGATTGCGCGAACTCGCGCCCGTCTCGGAGCGCTTCACGGTCTATGTTCCTGAAATCAGCGCCAAGATCGCAGACACCATCCAGGAGTTCCCCTTGACGATTCAGGACCGCATCACCGTTCTTCACGCGCCAATCTCACTTCGGGAGCAGGGACAGATGGACCTTCTCAAGGCCATTGCCAAGTGCATCTCGACGAGGAGCAACGGCGCCCTATACGATATCCAGCCCATCCAGCTGGAGCTGCTTGACGCCACGCTCGAAGACTTCAACAATCAGGGAAGGCGGTACCTTCATGCCATCGAGTCCCTGCACGCGGCCATCACCTTGTACTTGTGGGTGAGCTACCGCTTCCCCAACATCTTTACGAGTCAGGCGCTCGCGTTCCACGTCAAGGACGCCGTCGAGGAGAAGATTGAGTTCTACCTCGAGAACAACGCCGTCTTCGACCCTGAGGTACACACCAAGGTCCGTGAGAAGCGACGCAGGGAGGCGAGGGCCAAGGATATGAAGGCGGAAATGGAGGTGGAGCTACGCAGACTCCAAGAAGAGGAAGACGAAAGTAGTGCAGAGAAGCTCGCTGGTCTCGCGCCTTCCGAGGACGACTCTATCGTTTTTGACCAGAGCTCTGCGGGGCTCGATGAGCCTCTGGTGGTGGATGAGAGTGATTATGAGGCCGGGCTGAAAGACGAGGAGGAGAAGCCGAAAGAAGAGTCTGCCGTCTAATAGGACAGTCTCAGACTGGAGGCTGAAAGGAGCTTTGGGAGCTTCGGCTTATGTAAAACAATGTAGTCTTGTAGCTACACTCACTTGTACAATATTCTGTCTGGTGGCACAGGCAAAGCATATCGAAGGCATGAGTAAGGAGGCTTGGTTGGGGCCTTGTATACTATAACACAGGCATCACGAAAGGAGTAGGAACAGGATATAATCCAGAAGAAGATATAAGATAGACATCATAGGATTCTAGAAATACCCTCCACACATCTTAAAGAGGAACTCTACCATTCGCAGGTGGTCAAACTTTGAATATAAGAAAGTCCTTGGCTGGCGTCGCTCTACCCCAAGCTCCAAACTGACCACCCCGCATTCTGGGCTCACCGCAGGCGACCCCTGCCGGTTACCTCACCGACCCCACCATGTATCCCAGTTGCTTTTGGAGGGGCAAAGTGACATGGCAGCTCTACCTTGCTTGTCTTCTCAGCAACTCCAACTGGCCCGCGCCCTTCATCCTACATCACCCAAGCAAACGCAACACTCTGTCAAATCTCTTTCACAAACCACACCCACACGTTACAAACCAACACTGAAAACCAAACAACCAGGGCGGAACAAGACAGCAAAAACACAAGCCCTCCACAATGACATCCACAAACCCCGACCCCTCCGCCGCAGCCCCGGCCTTCATCCCCCTCGAAGCCAACCCGGAGCTCATGACCTCCCTCCTCCACAAGCTCGGCCTCTCCCCGGCCCTCCAGATCCACGACGTCTACTCCCTCACCGACCCGGACATGCTCTCCTTCGTCCCGCGCCCCGCCCTCGCCGTCCTCCTCGTCTTCCCCGTCAGCGCCGCCTACGAGAGCCATCGACTGGCCGAGGACGCCCTGCTGGACGAGTACAAGGGTAAAGGCCCGCAGGAGCCCGTTTTGTGGTTCCGCCAGACGATTAGGAATGCGTGCGGTCTCATGGGGTTGTTGCATGCTGTTGCTAATGGGCCTGCGAGGGAGTATATCCGTACGTATTCGTCACCCTCCTGTCACGCCGTTCTTCATATACCTTCTTTTCCTGCCTTTCCTATACAAGCTACTTCGTTGTGATGCAACGTTGGTTCTGACGAATGAACAGAGAAACCATCCGACCTCAACACCCTACTCGAAACAGCCGAACCCCTCGAACCCGCCTCCCGCGCCCAGCTCCTCGAGAAGACGCCCGCCCTCGCCACGGCGCACCGCGAAGCCGCGTCGCAGGGCGCGACCGAGGCGCCCGAGGCCTCGGACGACGTGGACCTGCACTACGTCTGCTTCGTGCGCGGCGACGACGGCACGCTGTGGGAGCTCGACGGGCGGCGCAAGGGCCCGCTGAACCGCGGCCAGCTCGAGTCCGGCGAGGATGTGTTGAGCGAGAAGGCGCTGACGTGGGGCCCGCGCAAGTTCCTCGAGAGGGAGGGCGCGGATTTGCGGTTTAGTGCTGTTGCGTTGGCTGGGTCTCTTGATTGAGAGGTCGAGGTTGGATGATGGAACAGGTATAGCATGTTATTTGGCGTTTAGGTTGGGCGTGGTTCAATTATTCTCTGTTCAATCTAGAGGAGTGAAATGAAGATGTGAGGACGAAGGGTTCAGCTTTTGCTGTGTTTAGAGAATGACTAGAGGAATGACTACTCGTTACATAGGTGTATTTCCACGATCGTGTCCACCACCATGGACCGCTCCATCAAAGTCAGTCTACCGACGCCTACTTCTACCGACTATTTGACTTCCAAAGCTGCGCTGAGTCCCGTGACTCAGGCTTCCTCCACAACTGGCCGGTCGTCCTTCTATCTTCGTCTCTACGTCCCTCAGAAGGAGTGTTGGCGGGCTCCTGGAGATCGAAGTCGAGCGGGCCAACATCCTCTCGCATATCTGACTGATCTTCCGCGTCTAGGTGTTTGTATTGACAACGTTAGTCTCAGGTAAACCGATGTATAGCGAAAAGTGCACTTGCCTTCCGTTACTACAACCTCCTTGAACTCGGTCGACGACTTTCTGTGGGCCTGGGCTCCGGTATCAGACCCGCTGGTAAGCCCCAGGCTCATGTGAAGAAGCTCGGAAGGGAGCGAGTTGAATTCCGTCTTGGACTTTCTGTGAGAATCGGCGAGGTTGTCAGTTGTAGTGGGAGTTGCCTTCCCCACTGCCTTTGACGTAGAAGAGTACTTGACTCCGACGGACGGTGGAATGCTCTCCGAAGCGAGATCAGGCCAGTTTCTCGGCGTCTGCTCTCCGTATTTGTGGTCATTGGGTGTCTCTGGTGCCTGCGCCTGCGCGGCATGACGAAGATCATGAGTCAAGGTGAGGTATTTGGGCAGTGCATTATCCCCGTTGGGCGTGGCGAAGGGCTTGTCAGAAGCGGAAGAAGGAGAAGACTTGGTACTGAGCGGGGGGCTCTTTCTAGTATCCTCGATGATGGGGGAGCCGTCGTGCTCGGTGAAGAAGGGAACCTAACCCTGGTTGGTGTCGGCCTGCTGTTGGGGCTGGTTGTTGTCTGGCATCGTTCCTGGAGGATAGTTGGGACAAGGACAGGATGCTGGCAGCCAAGCTAGTTGTTAGGGCAGCTTCTGGAGGGGTACTATGTGATCAGGGAATCGAAGGTGAAGATGCTGAGGAGGTGAGGCGTGTGGTGATTTGAATCGCAATTATCATGAGTTAAGAGGTGGTGATTGTACGATGAAGATGGAGATGGTATTAGACGAGGATGCTTCGTGTTGGTAGTAGTCACAAAGAGGTCTCCCAAGGTGTGTGTGCCTTCTCGTTGGACTTCATTTACATCATGGAAGGTCCGGGTTGCCTCGCTCCTTCATTGGAAGACGCCTCAAAAACTAGGGAGAAGGCGCCTCCCCTCATTTTCTCTCCCATCAACTGCCTACACGACCTCACTGGTAGGCAACTGCGAATTGCAAAGGTAGAGTCACAGGTCTCTTGCCTCTGCCAGTTCGATCACGTACCATACGCAACGGAGATTTATGCCCTCTTTAATTTGTCACGGTACTTATGTTGAGATTGTTATCAAGTCCACAGCCCAATCACCGTAACCGTTGCATGATCTGCTTACTTAGGCTTACCTGAAATGTCAATCTTAAGTACTTACTTAGTCAATCGAAGTATGCTCTTTGCGATCGGCAACCGGAACCTACGAGATGTCATAAGACCCCTCGTGTTCGAGCTAGTCACGGATGGAAGGCCCCCTCTGAGTTTTGACACTCCGACTTGATTCACTCGTGGAAGCCATCTTGATAAGACTCCGGGGAAAGCCTCAAACCAGTGCCTAGTGATAGTTGATGGTGTGTAGACCTGTACCCAATGATAACCTCAAGACTGACTTCCCCTGAGGCACTTGGAGGTAGTCTTTGAAGAATTGGGTATAGTGCGTGTGATGACACCGGCAGCGAGAGATGAGGCGGCGCCACGACACTTGTCTGCAGCAGTTGAATCATTCTTGGCAACTCCGGCTCCCCAACTCCGGCTCCCACCGTATTCATTGTGCCATATATCGAGGATTCGAAGGATTCATCCAGTTTCTCGGGGTTGGAAGCTCGTACTATATCTGCAACAGCAGTGATCGAACAACGTGGGTTTCATCCGGAAGCTTGTTTCCCTCGCTTCTCCGCGCAAGGCTTCTGTGATTTTGAGGCTCCCCAAGCCCCGAAAGGTCGGACGGACCGCGGGAACACCACCACCTCAGCACCAGCACCATCCACAGTCTGACATGCCCGCTCGGACCTCGGGCTCTGCAGTGTTCAACGTTCGGACGTCGAATGGGAAGCACGGTGCACCGTCCGAGCGGCGCCGGGGGCCGACGTGCTTGAATCTGGGAGAGTTGCGCCGGACTGCGGGTCTCCCGCCCACAAAAGGAATGGGCATACCAGACGGCGTGACGGCGTCCTGGTAGTGTCGCTGGCCTTGCCTCTTCCTGGACCCTTCATTTGTGAACGCGAGGGGTGGTGGAAGATCCTTTCCCCTGAACGGGGTACCCCGCCTGTGCTTGGGTGCGGCCGTAAGTCTGGAAATCAGACCATGATTGAGGTTGGTATGGAGAAGCAAGCTGAACGGGTTCCAGTATAACGCTTCTGGAACCACTCTGCTGCATGACGGCAACCCCTCGGAGTTCTGGATGCATTTTTGAAGCTATCGCTCACTTGAAAGCGCAAGTTGGAGTTGAAAGGCCTATGATGGTAATATCGGGAGCAAATTGGGAGAGTTAGGATAAAACGATCCATAGAAACCACCGTGTTCCACGTGGTGGCCGATCGCCGCTAGAAGGCTAGCCAGATCGCGCGGTATGAAACGCTGAGAGCTTGCCCATATATAGCAAACAATCCACCACTCTGCGGATACGAGCTAGATGCCTCCCCCTGAATAGAGGCGCTTGCCGTTCGCCGGTGAGCAACTTTGGTAAATTAACGTGTTATGGTGCCCAGCTCACCCTGTCATTGTAAGGAAAGCGCAAATGGGACGCTCACGCACCGAACTAGAGAGAGAAGACAGAAAAGAAGGATGGGCCGGGTTCTGTTCGTTTGTGAAGCCAAGCAGCAGATTGCGGCATTGCTGCCGGTAATCGCCGTTTCCCACTGCGGTGTCCGTCGCCATCATGCATCCGGCCGCAACATTGAGAGTGGCTGTTTTCTGTCACATTCTCTAACACAGCTGAAAAGTTGACGCGTCGATACTTTGACGTGATGATGCTCACACAATCTCGTTTCCGGTTGATTCGTGGAAATGGTCCTTTGCAGAAGGGAGAAGCAAAGATTGGCGACGGAAAAGAAATATCGGCAGCTGCGAGGCGTCCAGAACATCTACAAAGTACCTAATCCAATACAAGTGACTAAGCAGACTATGTGGCAGGTGTGACGCGGTACCTGACTTCCCGGACTCAGACTCAAGAGTGACGGGCCACGACTAACGGGTACTTTGGGGTTCGCCGACTCTTTCCTGTAACACGGCGGAATTTCCATCAAAAATCAATTGATCCATTAACTACCAACATCGAAGGAATTGTTTACGTCTCCAACATCCGTCACACGAAGCAATGCCTCGAGATTATACCATTTTTCCGCCACCACCAAGAATAGAGTCGTTCTGGGCAACTTCGTTCGCAGTCCGTTCAGCTGGGACTAGCAAACCTCACACCGCACACCGCACACCGTACTGAGGTGGCAGACCCTGCATTCATTGAGCAACACCGCAGCTAGCGCCGGAGACTCGATGCTTTTCCACCATTGTGGCGACCTGAGCAACCATACGCATGACATCTTGTTGACTCGGCCGCACTCCCTTGCCTTGCCTTATGCTTATTGACTTGTTGGGCTTGCCAGCTTGGAGCAATTTGACGCGGCACACACGCCAGCCTCCAAGATTGATAATTGACTTTCGATGCGTCATTTCAGTTCCATCGAATCGCGGCCAACACATTCGAGGAACAACACCAGGGGCGAATCCCTGAGTGATCTGCTTCCGCCCGCCTCCAATCAGCAGGGGGCGCAGAAAAGATGTCTCGCACACACGCACATCTACACCAGGGGCCGGGGACCCTCAACCATGATCAATCCAGGGCCATGCACAGGCACGCTCATGGAAAATACGCAAGCAAGATGGACACAATGCAAGATGCAGGCAGACGACGCTTCAAAACAGATGAGCGGAGAAACGTGTCGTCAACATGGTTCGATACGCGCCGTTTGGCGGGACGACGCCTGCTTTGATGCCACTGCCGGTCGACGACTAATACCTCACGACTACCAAGAACAAACACCCATCCGTCTGCGCCGTTGACCACGACCACTAGGTTCGATAGGTATTCCAAACGTCGTCTCCACTTCGACGAAGTCCGGTTTTTCCAAGACCAACGGAGTAAAGCCATACGCTACCGACTGGCGTTGTCCAACAGGAATTCTTTGACTTTGTTCCTGGGACACACTAAGATGGCTAGTCCTCAGACCAGTCACCTGGTGCTGCCAATAAAAGCAGCTGGCAAATGGGCTTCTTTCCAACCCTCGTCGATTGCTTTTTCTCCGAGGTGGCACCAATTACGACGTCTGACCCCTGAACCCAGTGCCATGTTTTCTTCTTTCTCGGATCGGCAGAGTGACCAGCATCGTGGAGGCGCATCGTCGTCCTTTGGAACAGATCCATGCTTGTGTGCGCTTGCAACAGCTATCAAGATCTGGAATCTCCTCCAATCCTCCGGGTTAGCAATTAACCTCGAAACCCAGGCACAACCTCGACTTCGATACCTTGGTACCGACAGGCCGAGACCAATCAGGCTGTTTTGATAGATGGATTGCCTTGGGTTTTCGGTTTGGCAATCGTGGTGCCCCAGCAGAAGTTCACCGAGAAGCGTGGGAACGAGAGACCTTATCCACTTGCACTCGAGCCGGACAGCAACACCAACGGCCGGAGGTCCTGAGATACTACAGAGAACTAGACCATGAAACAGGCTTGTAAGCCGTTTCGTGCTCTTCACACCTTTGTTGTCACTTTCGCACGGGCCGCGGTCCATCCCATACCCTCCCATCCGACCATCTATCCGTCTGCTTACCTGTTTTCGAAACCTTGATGCGCCATTTCGTCCGAGCAACGAGTCTTGTCACCACCACACCACACCAACAAGCCTGTTCTAAGCTTCTTTGCCACTCCTGCGCCATTCCTCAAGGCGCTCAGAAGCCTGTTTGTATTCCAAGACAAACAGATGATTCGGACATGTGGAAATCAGCATCTGATTGAAGCTTCCCCTGCTCCGCCCAAGAGTAGGCAACTTGGAACTCTGGTTATCTGCGACGCTTTCTAAAGTATAGTCTTTCTCTTCACACGTTGTGTATTGAGGACAGACTTCGTCTTCTAAGATGGGCAGAAAGTAGCCACCCGTTGATGTGACGAATTGTGGGTGGGCAGCGATCTGGCCTTTGGACATTCCGGCTCTTCAGAAGGGAAAAACTCTCAATGTATCGATGCTTGGCCTTTGACGGAAACCATGGCTCTCCCGCGGGTGTGTGTGCTCCATCACACCATGCAACTCGGAGCAGCCACGCTCGGGGACATGGGTATCGCATCGTTTAACTGCACGAAGCCTTCGACCTGGGCCCAAAACACGGTCTAGCGTAGACTATTTTCTGCTCATTCGCTCCGCTCCGTCATGTATATGCACGCACTTCAGCCTTAGCACCCTTACACGACTCGTCGTGTCGCATAGTCCCTCCTTTCCTTTTTCTTTAGTCCACCTAGGTTCTAGGATCTGATGCTATCCAGCCTACCCGCTCGGCTTTTAGACTTCCCTCTCCCCCTTCTCCTGGTACCCCCTTCCTTCTTCTCGTCGTCGTCTGTTCCAGTGTTTTTTCACATCGCAATCCTACATGCGATGAGGCCTCGCGCTCTCGGTGCTCAACTGTCTTCCAGCCTTTGAATTTCGCCTTCAACATCGCTTTCGACCGGAAGCAACCTTGAGTCTGCTGTCAGTTCACAGCATCCTAGTCGTCTCGTGTAGTCGCCATATGGAGGGCAAAAGGCTGCGACAATGGGCTTCTTGAAATTCTTCTCGTCCAAAAGGTCATCTGACAAGTCATCAAACGGTATCAAGGCGCAAGCATACGATGCTACGACAGCTTCTCTTCCCCCGCTTCTAGGTAGGATTGATCCAATACTCAGCCCAACTTCGTAGTCTAAACTTACATGAATCCCTAGGTACCTACCCGGTTGCCGGCAATGGACCAACCAATGTCTTCGAGGACCTTCAACGGTCTCATCATAAGATGAGCGAAACCAACTTGTCTCTTGCAGCGGGTTCCGAAGCTTCTGCCCCGGCACCGCCCGTCTTGCGATTCCGTGATTCCAGCGTCGAGCGCCCGAGTTCTGCGCCGGGCAGCGCTGTACCTCCCAGCTTTTCACCGTCTCCGTCCGGCCGCTGGGGGAGAGACTCATCGAGGGGTCCGCCTTTGTCGTTTAGGAAACCACGAATCGGGTCACTTACATCGACGACGTCTGGTCTATCGGGATTATCTCCCGCTCCAAAACGAAGCAGCAACTCTACAGCAATACCGTTCGAGGGAGATCCGTTTCGCCCACCAACTGCTCCCTTCACCCATAACCGCCACCTTTCCATGCAAAGTACAAGCACAGCCGCAGTCAGAGGCTTCATTGATCTGCTGGATGCACAATCCGAGATCAAGCCTTCGGGATTTCAGAGTCGAGTGAAGGCATCGGGCGCTCGGGATTACGGAGAAGATGTTGCTGACCGCAACATTGGCGAGAATGGAGTAGACCTTGAATCCGACAAAGTCCAAGCATTTTACGCAACAAACGGTGGTAGTCCGCGGGATCGACACAACGGCGCGTTTGCGGTTCCAGCAAGAGCCCAATTCGGAGACAAAGAACAAACGTTCAAGCCCCCCCGACGCCACGATTCACTGGACAACGAGGCTCGCACGAAGTCTCTGACATCGGCGAGCCTCGGCCAGGTACCATTCCGAACTAACATTTTCAATCTTGAAGGCTCCCTTGACCGCGAGCCAATCATGGAGTCTGTTTCGGAGACGATTCGTGGCCGTCGAAGGCAATCGCTAGGTGCTTACATTCCTACGACGCCATCGAATGCAACAAACGGTAGAACGCTGAGTCTTAGAAAGTCGACAGCGGATGCTTCTGGATCCCCAAATGGTCGAAAGCACAAGAGGCGATCTACTCTCGGAGGCGAAGCTCCCCTGAACGAATTGGGTATCTTTACATCTGGGAGAGGGCATCTTGACCCATCGATGTCACCAAAGACGACCCAAAAGCCAACGTACTTGGTCAAGCACAACTACTCGTTACCGGTCCAGCAACGACCAAAGACTTCGTCAGGTCTTATCCACACTGAATCATACCAGGCGGTGAGGCCGCCATCCCGCGGAGGGTCAGTAGCCAGTCCCACATTCTCCTCCCCAACCCAGAAGTCACCATCCAAACGGCACACCCTCTCCGCGATAGGCGGTGCTGCAGCATCTACTCGTCCTACCGAGTGGCCGCGGAATGCGAAGCCCGATGGACAGCCCGGCACAAGAGGATGGGTCGGTCGAGTTGAGGTTGAGAGCTTTGTTGATTCTGCGGATGTGTCCTCACCGGCGCCTTCACCTCGTTAGTTTTTACCGTCGATTTCTCTACTGTCTGCTATTATTTACTCCCGGAACCCTTTGCTAACATGACTTGCTTGACAGATGTGATGAGAAGTGGCCACTCGTGGCGTGAAGCCCAGGATGATTCTTACTCACGATCCAAGAGTAACGGAGTACCATTTGGAAAGGGCAAGCTGGATGAGATCTACGAACACGTGCCCATGCGGACGAGTAGCCTTCGGCACTGGTCGATTTCGTCGGCGACCCCCACGATGTCGAGCACCAGCTCCTTTCAACGACCTCATTCCCGACACACGACAACGACGACGGTAGATCTGGCTACCATGTCGTCCTTCCTCAATGACAGCTGCAGCTCCTTACACAGCGGTACAGGTGACCATGCATCGTTCTGCACAGCACTGGAGAGTGCCTTGCCCTCTCCAATTACCCCGGCAAAGCTTGGAGATGCGTTCAACATTGACGACTACTTGTCGTCAGACGATGACATCGACGCCGACTCGTTCATCACCACGCGGAAGCGTGGTTCAGCACAAAGCGGTGACCACGAAGAAGGGCTCCTCTTCAGCGACGAAGGGTATGGCGAAGGCGGTCTTCAGTTGCCGGGTCTCTTTGATGGTCTGTCTAACATCCCGGACCCCGAAACCACGTCGCCGGAGCGGTTTGGTCATAAATATTCCCTCAGTAATCCCGGTGGTCGTTTACATCGAAAGTTCTCTTTAGACCCCAGGATTGAAGCGCCAATTTCTACTCTTGATGATGGCGATGGTGATGCTGAGGACGAGGACGATGACCTGTTTGATATCCCCATGCGATCGGACCTGGCTCTCGGGCGTCGGGGCACGCAGAGGATCTCGGCACTGGGGACCATGTACCAGAGTATTGAGGAAGAGAAGGACGAGAAGGTCGACGTCCGGGCCGCCGTCCGGCTTCGAAAGGAAGACAAGGCGCGGCAGCGGGCGTTGGCTAGATTCAGCAGAGTGCAACATAGGAGGGTTTCCCAGTTCGAGGGGAAGCAGGGCGGTAGTGAGTGAGCGCGTGAAGTGTGTCGTATCCAGCGAGTGAGAGAGTAGTAAGGCGCAAGAGCGATTTGCCCGTGTTATCGAGGAGTTTTAAGGGGCTATACCCAGGGACATCTTATCAGGGATCTTGAAGGGAGACGGGAATGAAGAGCAAGGGTCGGGACATAGAGCTTCTCGGGCGTATGTTGGGTGATGTCACGAATCACGTCTACTTTGTTGGCCGTTTGATAGAACAATATGATACCATGTTTAATTCGTAGCACACTTTGTTCGATTCTTCGCCTATTATCTGGTTTCTTTATTCTGCGCACTACGTGCGTTAAAAAAAAAGCTTACACTTAACAAATATTTCTGTACGTGACTTCTCTTCCATACTTTGTCCATTATAACAAATACATTCTTATCGCTTGAATACAATGTCTATATATGCGAGCAAGTACTGGACGGCCTAGATCTGAGATGATAAAATAACCCTCCCCTTTCTTTTCTAAACCTGGCAAATCTTGGACGGTATTCCGGGGCCCAAAATTCTCTCCAAAGAACTTGTACGCCAATGCGTCACTCTCAACCGCTTCTATACTAATTCACGTGAAAACAAACATGTTGTTGTTATGCATCCCGTCAACGCCGCCACTGCCATCACCATCACCACCGCTCAGGAATGCACTCCAGTCCATCTCCACCAGCTGCTCGTCGCACCACATGGACATGTCTATACTGTTCTCCGTCGAGGGCGTACGAATGGCGGAGCCGGCGCCGGAGCCTTCGAGGTCGGTGGTAACGGCCTCGTATAGGGCGCCGACAATATCGGGGGTGCGATCCGAGTCGCGCATCCAGGAGCGCATATCGTTGAAGAGCTCGAGGGCTTTTGTGAGGCTTGCGCACCAAGAGGGTAGGAAGATATTGTGCTCGGGGGAGTTGATTGTCGCTGCTGTTGGCATCTGTAGTATTCCCAGATGTGATGTTTGAGAGGGGACTGTGGATGGTGGCGGTGGATATTGTGATTGTTCCTGCTGCTGCTGCTTACGGACCGAGTTACGCACATGTGTGTCAATGGCGATGGAGAGGATTGGAACCATGCACGCTTGGAAAAGGTACCATGCCGAGTTCCAAACGTGGATGCGGTTAGGTGTCCAGTAGAGTGTAATGGCGTCGATGGCCTCCATGGCGACGGAGCGGCAGGTTTCAACGAGGGCTAGCTCGTCAGGGGTAGGCCCAGGGACATTCGAGATGGCGTTGGCGCCGCGTCTGAGGGAATGATCGTGGGCAAGGTAGAGTAAGAAGCTTCGCGTAAGGATGAGGCGGACGTTGAGGTAGCGGTTCCGCATGAATTCGCGAGCTTCCGTTAGACGAGGTGGAGAATTTGCTGGGTTCTTGAGGAAGTCGGGAAGACAGTCGTGCCACTCTACCAGCTCTCGGTCGAAAGCCATGGCCTCGCGGGCGGATAAGCGCGCGGGTTGCGCAAAACGATGCTGAATCCTGTCACAGATGTGGCAGAACAGACAGCTTGCTCGTAACGATGCTGCTACGTGGTCATCGGGAAACAATGGCGTGGGTAAGAGCGTGTCCATGGTACTACTGTCCCATCGGCCACACGTAGGGCGGCCGAGGGTCATGCTCGCCCACGTATCGAGGCAGAAAAGACTCCACCAGGTTCTTCTACGCGTTTCGGCGCGTGAGAGGTAATTACTGTGCTCCGTGACGTTCTCGGCACGACTGCGTGCGGGTTCTCGATGCAATCCTAGGGCTATTGCGACGCGGTGAGCTGCACCGAGAACAGCATACGCCATGTTGGGCGAGTTTCGGTAGTGCAAGTAGTAGCCCCCAAGAAGGCAGAGAGCTTGTAGACTCTCCATGTTACCAGAGCCCAGGGAATCGAGATCGAGGTAAGCGCGTGCCTGCTTATAGTACTGAACGTGGAGGGAGTCACTGCCGGAGGCGATGGAGCCCAGAGTGTAGACCATGTTGAGTAGGGCCAGCCAAGAGCCATCAAGACGAGTTCCTGACGCAAGGTTGCGTCTAAAGTCATCTTCATTGAGAATCGGTGTTACTGGGTGGATGTGATCAAAGTAAAAGTCGATACAGCGCTGTTCCCGCAGAGGGTTCATGCCCGCGCCGGGGCTGACAAGAGAGAGTGACGGAAGCAGCTGAGACTGATAATGGACATCGTTCCAGGCCTTTGCCCTCTGAGCCGTGTGCTCTTTGGCAGCTGGACAGAGACGAAATATCACCCTGAGAACGGCACTCATGGATGTGACGCCGAGATAGGAGCGGCGATGCTGGTCTGTTGCTAGACTGATGGCGTTGATATCGTCGCTAGAGCCAAGGGCCGCCGGCTGCTGGGCTGGCTCATCCCATCGTCTCTCGTTTGCAGCATCTCCATTCTCAGAATTTTGCGCCGAATCATCGTGGCCGTCATCATCGTCATCCTCATCGGCTGCTGAGACACCAGCTGGTGAAGGGTCGGCTTGCGGAACCGAGGAGCGCAAAACAAAGAGAGATTCTCGCGGCAACAAAGCGAGCAACTCTGCTCGACTCTTGCCTACTAGATCGTTCACATCAACATCAGGGAAGAGTTTCTGCAGCACGCTAGACTGGGCGCGGAGCTGCTCTGAGGTCTTTTCGAGAGTACTGGGGTAATCGTCAGCCTTGATGATCCTGCAGGAACGAAAGTATCGGGGGATCTAATGATGGGCAAGGGTTACTGCATACCTCCTGCTCACAGCATGTCGTCTGCTACGCTGCCTGTACTCGCATGAATCTGCAACCTTGTAGTACTGACAACTCGCACAAGGATGTCCACCATCGCACTTGACCTTGCGTCTCGTGCATTCCTGACATGAGCGGTTGACCTTGCGTGAAGTTGTCGGTGAGCTCACGGCCGAACCCTCGGGGCTGCGGCGGCTGTCAAAGGAGTGGAACATGGTCGCCCGACCCGTGGTTGTTGGGCTGGTGGTGGTTGTAGTCGGCATTTACACGGCCCTCGGCACGGCGAAAGACCCAATTGAGCGGGAGACATTGGGGGGAAGGGATATGCGGAGAGCCGGGGATTTGGAGGAGCGGGCCTGGATTAGAAATATGTGGGTTGAAGAAGAGGACGGAAAGGGTGACGTTGAACTGCCCGTGAGGAGGAGTTTGAGGATGAGGAGGACGGGAGGAGGAAGAGAAGGGGCCGAGGAGGAAGTTGTCAAAGGGAATGGCGCGGGGAAAGTGCGAGGAGCGCCTGTGATGAACATGGAGAAGGAGCAACCCGAGTGTGGGGTTAGGTTGGCAGTTGCCAGTTGGAGTTCTGCACTAAAACTCGGTACAAACTACTTACACCAAGTACTTGGACTAAGTACCTTTAGGACGACCAGGGGTGGCACTGGTGGTTCTATTTGGGAAGGAGTCAAGACCACTTTTTCACCCGACCCGGCGGCACCTTTAGGCCTTGAACCTTGGGCCCCTTGGCCTAGACCAGATCGCCCATTTTTGACACTTCCAGTCCGCTTCCCTTCCTTCATCCACACTCAAACTGAGTCTCAAAAGAACCTGGAAATTTGGCTGCCTGACCAACTCCCTGGTGAGGGATGGATCTAACTATGAAGTTACAGTTTTACCATCTTCACAAAGCCACAATGAGGTAGTGTTATACTTGTCGCCTTCCCGTTCTGATAAGTCTGGGCAGCCAAAACGTTAAACGTCAAACATCAACTGGTAATGCCTTGAGCACGTTCTCCAGGCACCAAGCATTTGACATTGGCTTGGCTACATCTCATGTCTACGATGCCGACTAAGAGATTGGCCAAAGAGTTGTTCCACTTTCCAGCTCGGCCCGATGATCTCCAGTACGTCAAAGCGAACCCAGAGTAACCTAAGCCCGCCCCAGATCTCTCCTCAAGTGCCCACCACTACCCCAAGCCCCTGATTGAAACACTGTGGACCTTAGTTATCGTGGTATGGTTCTTTCTAGGCAACAAACATTCTAACTTTTGCTTATACGATCTCTCTCCGTAGTTACACCGTCAAGTGCCGCCACAATGTCCCCTTTTAGTTTCAGCCCCATGGTCATTCAACTGCCTTACCTACCTTGGGTAGGGCTAGACACCTTTCATCACGACATGCCCATGACCTTTTGCGATCCATGGTCCGTGGTATCCGTACTAGCGCAACGTTACAAGAACTACGGGTTCCCCGATGCGTACATCCGCTGTAGATTCATGACCTGCCTGATTCATTGAACATCTGAAAAAGAATTCATCGAGAAGGATGCAGACTAGAGCCCGACTGAGATTCCCTGCATGGCATCCAATCTCCGGGGAGAGGCTGACAGTGAATTCCTCAAACTCAGCTTTTCGAGACACATGCCCATTCTATGACCATTCCCATAATAGTGACTACAGGCCCTCTCGGACAGTTCTAAACCTACAGTAAGCCGCCCTCATTTGTGTGTCTATGAGATAGGAGCCCACGTGCCTCGTGTGGTATATTGTGTCTACGATTTCCGGTTAGGGTCCGCGAGCAACCGGATCGACCCAGTTCTAATTTCTTTCTAAAAGGCCCGAGATGTGAGGCTGCCTCTCGTGCCGAAGGGATGAATGCTTGACCAACCCCTTGCGAGTTACGACCTTGTCTGCTTTCATCGCCGGCAATCCAGCCTCGGCCCACACCCATACACCAATGGATACATGGCTTCGAGCAAGTAGCGAGAAGCTTCCCAAAGGATCCAAGGCGGATACTGAAGGAACGCCCGCATTGTTTCAATTGCTCCTCCCTGCCTTATCCATACAAAAGTTGAGGCGCTCGAGACAGATTAATTAGCGGCAGGACCCGCCGCCATCAAGAAGCACATCATGGACTATTCTAGGGGGGACGGACTGCCGGTCATAGAACGAATGAAATGTGCAATGAGAAACCGGATTACTCTTTTTGAAAGCGAAGTAGAATGCGGTGTAGGAAAGAGAAGAGCCTAAGGTCTAGTTGCTACTTTATTGGCTTGGAACTAGCCATGTGGCTTGACCTGTGCCCAGTACACGGACACACCGAGCAGATGGACAACCAAGAGCACGTACGGGAGAATTCGTGTGGATCGCGTACCACCATGTCTTGCACCATGTCTTGATCCCTGAAGACGATGCCGCATGCGCCCTGGTAACCTCAGTGCTCACTGTTTAGCAGGTTCATTATCAACCCCTCACTAAGGTAATCCAAGCGATCCTCTGTAAAAAGGGGCAGCTGAGGGAAACTCTTATCGTTGTCGGTCGATCCATTGCGGAACACACTTAACTGAACAGTTTCTAATGAATAATGACTAAAGTTGTAGCTAAGTGATGCCTTGCCCACCGAGCAATGTACATGTTCCTAGACAAAATAACTAGCTGTTGCTCTCGGCTCTGTCGGATTGTAACTCGGGGGCCGAGGTAGGCGTCGTAGTCTCTTGCTAAGGTGACTTATCATAGCGGAGACGGTGATGCCGAGAACCATGTGCAGAAGGATTAACATCGAGAGGCTAGAGTTGAGTTGTTCCATCACATGTGCGCCTGCTTGGTAGACTCTTTGATACCTGAAAGCTGCGCCTTACCTTAATTCTGGTGCCTAGTCTGCAGCATGTGGAGTTGTCGTGAGATGCCGAGGGCTGTGAACTAGATGACATTCTCTCGACAAGTTTGACTCGATCACACTCTAGGGTCTCAATTGGATCATCATCGAGTGTCCAATGTTTACCCCAAATCAGGCTCTCAAGTCTTCTGACTGTGGGTCAAAAGGTGATCAAATTGTTCGACCACGGCCAAGATTCGAAATGGATCAACAGGAGTGACGCCAACGAGAGAAGGGAACGGGGTAGGCGTGCTGGGATCATTTTTCACAGGGAGCAGATTTGGCCCCAACTACTGATCCTTGATGACCATTCCAGTTCCAGCAACACGTCATTACTTGAAGCACCTTACTTTTCCTTGAGAAGGATTGGAGGTCAGAGAGAAGATCCTTCAGACAAGCTCGTATGATCAACCTGCACACAAAATCCTCGATTTGTCGATGGGCTGATGTTGGCTTACCTCTTTGTGATCATTCGGTCATGGAAGACGTATGAATCGCTCATGAACAATACTGAATGTCCGGTTAGTAACGTGCGGAGCGGCACCTGGTTCTGGCGTTAGAGTGCTTGTTCAATCTCTGGCTGACTTGAATCTACTACCTTAAGCTGGGTGATACAAGCGAAAGTAAAACGCAATTCTAGAGTAACCCGGAAGTCTTTTAGATGTCTTCGGGATATATGCTGCTAAGTTGCTGAGAACGGTGTCGTAGAGAGCCATACGGCCGAGTGGTCAGCGCTCAGGGGTTGCTGAAGGCCGTTGATACTTTCTCAGGGGGTGGGTCTTATTGCTCTATATTTCTGGAAAGCATGTTTCTGCCAGGATAGAAAGCCTGTTGACGCTTTCGTAGTGAATTAAATCCGGTCTCAGGGGGTCATCGTCACAGAGGGGGTAGGCTGCATGTTCCTGGAGGGGGGCCTGGGCCTGGGCCTGGTGGTCCATCATCCATGGACGCTTGCATCGCTGGAAGCTCCGAACCATTAATTCCATTATCGGAACACTTGTTTACAAATAAATCTACGACATCTCATTGTGTTCAAGATCGAATATCGGGATGTAGAAGATGAATGAAATTTGGGGGATCTGTCTTGCTTCAAGATGATTAAATTCATCGTAAGTCAATGGCTTCTACGTATCATCCTCCACAATTCAAGTAGCTTCTGCCCAATAACTTTCCAGTTCTCAACCCCGAGACTGAATGCACGAACCTCGGCTTGCCAAATGAATCTAGTGTCTTCGATTGTGTAGAAAGAGCACCCAAAGCTCTTCGGCATAATTACCTGAGGATCAATGCCGAATAGGTAGCGTATATCAGGATTTCCTACCGGGCGTTTTGGGACCGTTCAATACAGCCCAGATCGCCGGACTTTGAAGCTAAAACTGGGCCACGTCCACGACTGACGCATGTTCCGCGAGGACGACGCTAAGTGCGAATGATCTAAGTAGGGTAGTGATGAAGCTAGCGAAGCGGCACTTGGATGCCGAACGCTAGATGCGCCGAAGAATAGTAAACCAAAACATTGGGCACCTTCACTAGATTTTAGCTGGCTAGCAAAATGCGAGAGGCATTCGTGGGTGATGAAGGGATCTGTGGGATTCGATCAACGGTCTGTCAACACTTTTCGAATCGTAAAGGATCATTAGCAATCGAATGACCAGGATAAGGCCCATCCTTTGCCAGTCACACATATTGGTCAAAGTGAATGAAAGACAAGAAGTGACAACCCACCTTGAGCTTCCGATTTTGTCAATGCGGACAGTTAATATGGGCCTCGACTTCCGTTTCCTTGCGTTCTAAATGCCGAATAAGGCGATGGCGGGCTTGAACTGACTGCTGCCTGGAATTTAATCTATCGTTATTCATTTCCCTTGCAAGAACTCTCCGGCCAACGTCCGATGGTTACAAGGCTACGAGTCGAGCCGCCCGAGCCTGATCTACCCGTCGATCGAGTATGCCATCTGGAACGAAATGGTTGTAAAACACTTCGATAGCATCCCTCATCTCCTCAAATCTGTCTCCGAAAGCTTCGAACCCGAAGCGGCAAGAGGACATCCTATCTCCAGGGCCGCAATTTTCACGGTTCCAAAAGTTCCATATCCCCTTGCGTGGTTGCCAATTGATCTCGATAAAGCTCCCGGTATTGCTCAGGTCAGGCTGCATCACGGCCTTGAGCTCTTGATCCACATTGCTGAGCGACTCCTTCCATGAGGCCATCGCGGCGGACTCGTCCTCGTCTCCGTCTCCGTCCTCCTTGATACGATCAATTATGAAAGCCCTACGCGCAAAATGTCGATCCATGATACGCTCGGCGAGGAACCACGAAGCGGCCTCGGCCTTGTCAGCGATGCGCAAACGGCTTCGGTACTCGGCATCATAATGGCGCGTACAAGTCTCCACGCGCTGGTCGAGGGAGAGAGTGATGGGCAGGGGCAGTGTGATGACCTCGATGCGATCCGCTCCGTAGCGGATCTTCGTCCGCTTCGTCTTGGTGTGGTCAAACAGGGCGCTGGCAAGCTGAGCGCTACGGGTGGGACGGGCAGTCTCCGTCGTGTCGTACACAACGAAACCAAATGATGGACGTAGAGCTCGAAGCGCGGTTACGTCGGATTCAGGGGTGTCGTCATGGATCTGGTAGGCGGCAAAGATTGGAGCGCCATCGTGACTGGGTGCGGCTTGAATACATGTCTTGTTTGGTAGACGCCTCTTCTCTTCCTTTTCCTCTTCATCTTCGTCTTCTTCGGCTCTTTCTCTTTCTAAGCGAGCTGCTTCTTCTAATCTTCGGCGAGCGACGTCTTTTGATCGCATGCTCGGAGGAGCGCTGTCTTGACGCTTGTTGTCGAAGCAGTGGTGACACATGGCGGTGAGAAATGCTGGCTTGATGCTAAGAGGGAAATTACTGATATGAACAAGAAAACAGAAAACAGATGTTTGTTGGCTCTCTTAGCCAGTGGTTATGGCTGCCTAGAAGTCATCGTGGATTTGACTGAAGGCTGCCGCCTAATTCCACCTCCTGATCAAGGTCAGACGCCCCGCAAGAGCAATTAAGAGGTTTTGGAACCTGTTCATAATCATGTCAGCGTCTATAGTGATTCTAGCGAAAAGAAGCATCATCGACATTTTGTCAATTATGGTTCTTGAATGAGGATCTAGCCCTTCAATACATCGCAATTTCTTAGGATTCGACCTGTTCGGTTGCATGGTTCGGTCGCGTCTTGCCCCTCGAACTTTCCAGAGCAAGAAGCAGTTCATCACTTGACCATCAGCATGAGTGAAATTGTATGTGAGCTCGGGTTCCTGAATGCCCGTCGGAGAGACTCCATTGTTGCACAACTGACTCGCTCACCGGTATCTAAGCACCGGTATCTAAGAGCCTGAACGAGATAATCTCCAAGTTGTTCGTTCTGAGGTCAAGTTATGAATGAGGGCTGATTTGAGAGCGGAAGTGCCAGACGTGCGTGTTCACGCACATCAAGGGCATCGCGTGTTGAGTATCTGACACTTGACGGCAACGGCCTGTATTCATTTACGCGCTGTGATCAATTTGATAATCGTCCTAATTCTGCCAACAAGATTTCGGATTTCTAGACAGATCAAATATTGCGCCTAAAGCGTGGCAATTATCCCTCGGGGTATTGTGGAAACGCTGGCTCGTCCCGTATTCTCTACGTGGACGACAATGGCGCCGACCATTCAATGTGCTTACTTAGAGTTAGGAGATCGGTGAAGACCCCTGGATCGGGGTTAGCGACGAGTTCTTAAGCACAGTGGTGTGAAAGCGCTGGTTCGTTGGTTGGTGATCGTCCCAAGGGTATGGTGGGTTATTTCCATTCGAGATGAGGATTCCGCCAAGACACAACAACCAACAACGGGTAGTTTCCTCCGATGGAGAGAGGGGTAAATTCGCCTCTTTCCGTCATGATAATCGATTATTCCAATGTCCTGATCTTCTCGGCGTTGGCATTGGAGTCTCTTCGACGGTCACATCTACACCTATCCTCCCGGATACGACGTTGACGTGATTAAACATAAAATGAATGCCTCAACTCAGCCCAGCGCCGCTCCTGCGACTGCTCCTACAGCTTCACCGGCTGCGGCCGCGATTGAGCCTGCGGTAGCAGCGAACGACCCTGTGAGAGCCTTCGCGCGAAACTCAAACTATTTTAGGGCTTGTGACTTTAGTTTCTGGAGGAACTTGCCCTGAGTGTGGCGGGAAAGTATCGGTATACTGACAAGTCATTGAGTGCTAGAATCCTATTGTCGCAGCCGATGATCATGATTCTTTGGCGGACACAGAGAGGTTTGTGCTCGATTCCCAAATTCCAAGCGAGACGCAACACTAACAGAGGCGGGCAAAGCGTTACGACTCAGTCGACTGCATCGCTAACCGAGAGCATCACCGAATACCGCAGAATTCATGGTCGTACTTATACGCAAAAGGCCGACTACTGGGGTCCGAACGACGAGCAGCAAAATGAGGGCCTTGATCTCGCGTGAGTAGCAGGGAACTTCCTTGAAATCCTCAATTGGCTAATTCACGCTCTTGAAGGCATTACTGGGAAACGCTACTCCTCGGCGACAAGCTTTTTCTTTCACCGCTCGGGGATGGACCGTTGGTAAGAAGCTTCCATCTCCAGTCAAGATACGGTTCTGAAGAATTGAGCAGAAGGTCCTCGACTTAGGAACCGGTACTGGTATCTGGGCAATGTAAGTTCATTGATTCATTCCACCTGAAATGCCTCTCTTGCACCAAGCCAAAACTGACAGGGACGCAGTGACTTCGCTGATGAGTTCCCGTCTTCCGAAGTAACGGGTGTCGACATCTCGCCTATCCAGCCTGGCTGGGTGCCGCCCAATTGCAAGTTTCAAATCGACGATGTCGAACAGCCATGGACATGGACTCCTGATTTCGATTTCATTCATCTCCGCCACATGGAGGCTTGCATCTCTGACTGGCCTGCTTTCTACAAACAAATCTACGATCACCTCAAGCCTGGGGGATACTTTGAGATGAAGGATTTTGACATTGAGTTCCGCTCTCAAGCGTATGGGGACAGTCTCCCAGAAGACCACGTCTACCGCAGGTGGGGCAAGATCTTTTTCGAGGCTGCAAACCGCCTCGGCAAGTCCATGGATCAGTCACGAGGGGGCCACAAAATCGCCGATGCTATGAGGGACGCCGGCTTCGTCGACGTTGTCGAGAAGAGCTGGCCTGTGCCTATTGGGGGTTGGCCCAAGGACCACACGCTGAAAGAGGTTGGCATCTGCAACCTGGAGTTTCACGACCAGTCTCTCGAAGGCTTTTCCATGTTTCTGTTGACTCAGGTGATGGACTGGGATAGCATATCGGCGGGGGTGTTCGTTGCCGAGGCACGCAAAGCTCTCAAGGACCCTAAGCTCCAGACGGTCATATACTTGTGAGTTGGTCATGGTTTCTGTGGTCTAGACAAGGCTCTGCTGACATGAGATAGGCAAAACGTGTACGGACGCAAACCTGAGGGATCATCTTAGCTTGGGCTTTTCAATGCGTTTCCCACTATTTGACAGCTTTGTTGACCACGGCTAGCATCGAGTAGGGTGGTCAGATTGAGTAGGTCTCACAGCACCTCCTTCGTAACGAATTGAGAGATAGATAGGGGTGACAAATATAGGCCTTGTCTGTTCAACCAAGCCTCAACTTTCTTCGACTTTGCCCCTTGATGTTTTGCAATACAAATTTTACAACTTTGACTTCAGCTCTGTATCTATCGCTTCGAGGCCGGACGGTCCACCGTAAAGCTGCGCTTGCAAACCATTCGTGTTGATCTAAGGTAATAGCAACAATGTCAGAAATGTCGCCATCATCGACGATAGAATCAAGGTGGGCGACTCTGAACTTACATGTCTTGGTCCAAGTTGATCCACACGCTCAACACCAAGCAGTCTCATTGCGGTGACGGTCTCATCTGCAAGAACTATAGAACCACTTCAGCTTACGATTCGCGAAGGATGAATCTGGCGATGAGGTTGAACTTACTTTGCAATGCCCTTTCAACACCCGCTTGTCCCCCAACAGCTAGGCTGTACAGCGCCGCCCTTCCAATGCCGACACCCTTGGCTCCCAGGGCCAGAGCTTTGACGACGTCTGTACCTCTTTTGATACCTCCATCGATGAGAACATCGATCTTGTCAAACACCTCTGGACAGAATTTCCGAATCTCCAGAAGCACTTGTACAGGCGTCATTGTCGTATCCAGAGCCCGTCCACCATGATTCGAGATAATGATACCCTTTACGCTCGGAAATAAGGTCGCCGTATACGCATCCTCGTGTGTCTGAATGCCTTTCAACACTATCGGGAGATTCGTATGCTTGGCGAGCCAGGCAAGCGTCTTCTTCCACGTGAGTCCCGACTCCGTGCCCCATACACCCGGCGGGGCGCCTCCCGCAACTTCTGCCATCTTGAATCGCTCGTCTGCTTCTCGTTTGCCGGGGAATGGAGCGTCTAGTGTGAGCACGATGAATTTGATTTGGGGAACGGCTCGAATCTGTGCTAATGTCCTCTCGGTCGCTTCGATATCCTTCAGAACGTAGAGCTGCCATGCGAAAGTCGCGTCGGGGCCGGCCTGGACAATTGCTGAGGGAGACATTGAAGCATTCTTGCTGATGATCTGCAAGCCCTTGAACTTGGAGCTCGCTGCTGCAATGCCGGCCTCGCCTATTGGGTGCGCCAATTTGGCCATGGCTGCGGGCGAAACGTAGATTGGCATGCCGACTGCATTTCCAAGGAGGTTCGTCGATAAGGAGCACCGGGTACAATCAACAAAGACCCGTGGCCGCAGGAGAATGGAACGGAAGATGGTGCCATTCCCAACTTTAGTGACCTCGTCATCGGTTCCTGAGGCGTAGTACGAGATGGCTTTCGGGCTCATCTTCTGCAAGGCATAATGCTCCATTTCGGCGATACTCAGGATCTGAGACACTGGAGGTACGTCATCTGACTTATCTGGTGATGGCGATGGGTTCGCGAGTGCGTCCGGAGGTGACATGTCTGATTGCAGCCTGCCTCCCATTTCTGTGACTTCAAATGTTCCCATGATCTGGCCAGGCCGGAGATACTCTTCCAAGACCTCAACTGGGTGGACGGCATCAAACGCTTCGCTAGCATCTTTGCCTGCATTCTTTAGGAGAATGGCTTTACCACCCGGGTGATTGGGGAGGAATGATGTGATCTGCCGCCTATGGTGAGTTTTGTGATTCTTGTAAGAGGGCCAGAAAACGCACATCGTAGACTACGCCATGAATGGCCATCCAACAATCATCAATAGTTCGATGTCGGCGGACTGTGAACTCTTAGCATTGTATTGTTCCGTCATGACGCACGAGGAAGGCACCTTCGGAGAGCGGCCACGTTCGACTCATCATGAATACAGAAGGGTCGCTTCAAACATCGTTTGCTTCTACAGATGAATGAGATCAATAGCACAGCATGGGACTGCTAGATTCTTGCAGGTTGGTGTCACGATCCGCTGAAGTGACAAGGCACAATGCGGAACCTCTTTCACCTGGTACCTCTGGGTGGTCTGTGGCATGTATCTCACGATACCCACATATGCACTCGGTCGGGAGTTTATGATCCCATTTGCCTCTTCTGGATGCGGGCTTTCATATCCCCGGTGGGATGTGGCACGTTCCCCAAGCTCTCCGCAGTTGAATCCACCTTTCTCCCCACCATCTTGGTCAACCCCAAATCCTCACTCCGGAGTCTGGACTCACCATTGGTACAGCAGTATCCGCAGATGCGGTAGAGAAACCAGTTGAATCCTTGCTCGAAACCGGCGAATGATTCAATGGAGGCTTTGAACTAGTAGAAGGAATGAGTAGACCCTCTGAGGTTCGAGAAGAGGAAGCTTAGTCTCACTGTCTCACCGACCACAAGTTGTCCAGTTTCCATCCTACATCTGCTCTAGCAAGCTACTAACAATCTCGTGAGCTCGACCTGCATCCAAGGCACAAGCAGCTTAGGGAATTTAGTGAGACATGTACTGAGTCAATCCACGTATGAAGTTGCAACTCGACGTTGCCTTATGGATGCTGTCGGTGTAAGAAGACTCGCTTGTGGGGACTTGGTCGGGCTGGTCAGTGAGTCGCGGCGCAGGCTGTAGCACACCGGTTGCAACCCACCAATTTTTCTCTTAGCACAAGAGAAATGGCCGGGAATATGGCTTGAGATAACTCTTTCACCCTCAATAATGTGCACGATGATTGATTTTACCCACTGAATCAAAGGATTGGCAAATGTCTTGACCGAATGCGCCGAGATAACGTGATATAATTTCAGAGTTCCACTTTAAATCTCCAACCCCTTTCTGAGGCTCCAGTTGCTAGGCAACTGAAGGAGAGGCCCAACAGGATTGTGACTTCAGATACAACGATTTTATCCTTTTCCTACACACTGATATAGTCTTACACTTCTGGCACACACTCTAACTCCCATCTGATATTTTCTGGTTCTCGCAATTACCTGCGTACTTACTTCCAATATGGGTAGGGGGCAGAGACGAAGGAAGACAAAACGATTGGAGGCTCACCAGCAACAGGAGGAGGAGCAGTATCGCCAGGTACAGCAAAGACTACATCAACTAAGGCAAGAGGCGCAAAAGCAGGAGCATACATCAAAGCAACAACAGAATCAACACCAAAGAAAGCATAAGGGTCCATTTTCAAAGGCATACACGCGGCCACAATACAACCCTAAGAATCGCCCAGAATGGTTCTTTCGTCACATGAAATGGCTAGATTGGTCGGTCGAGGATCACGATCGCAGAGCCTTTGCAGAAGATCTTTCTGACATTGAGTCCTCAAAGGGGGAGTGTACTTACGAAGAAGATGGTTCTGATTGTGAGTGTGAGACGCCCATCTGGCGAGAGTACACGGGCGATGACAAAGAAGAAAGGCTTTTCCGCGAAGCAAAATACCAACGAGCGATGTTCAAGCGCGAATGGCTCCCCGAAACCAGTAAACATTACAAGATTGAAGAAAAGATGAGGATGGAACGTATGGCCCGGCAAAATAATGACAAACTCAAGAGAGTCAAGTTGGCCATCGACGCTCTGATACGAAACGGAACGAGAGACGAAGCAAAACCTCTCTACTACATGAGCCGTAACATTTTATCGCAGTTCGACTTGCTTTCCGAGGACTACGCAGCTCCCTTGGATCCAGATGGTATTCGAGTGTCTAGGATAATCGACTTCACCGACATGAACTCAGTCCGCGCCATGAAATACCCGTCGCTCAGAGGAACAACGGAATTGAAGGTTGACAGGGTTTTGTCAGGGGGTCTAGCCATAGATTGCGCAGAAGACCCTGACGATGACATCCGACTGGATTTTGAATCATTCAAGTGCCCTCAAAGAACAGGAACTTACAAGATCCCCACGGATAGAAAGGATGGGGCTCGGGAGTTGAATATTGAATTCCTCAGCGATGACTACATCATACTGGATGTCCATCCTGATGCGGTCTTCCGCGACCAGAGCGGCAAAAAGCTACCCAATTGGCCAAAAGCGCCGCTGGCTCAGTATCGATTCTACGGCATCAACAGGGCGTTGAGCGGGGATCCGTCTTGTCATAGATGAAGCATCTCTAATCGCAGTTGCGTTTGTGAAGCAGAAGGACACAGCGGCCTGAAGGATGACTGGTACTGATCCTTGGTAATATCAAATGAAACTCTCTTCTCAATCCGCCGTCATAATAACGTCAAAATCAAAGCTCTCTTGCGTGAGGTTCCAAGAAAGGCACCCGAGTTACACAATGTGGCAACAAAGATCTTGTTCACCCAAGAGGTCGGCGAGAAACAGTTCGTATATCACCGGTTCTGAAATGGAAATTTCGATAAGCATACCTACCCTAAAATCGAAGAACTAATTATACACAACAAGATCAGAACATTCAATGAGTTAAATCCGCTGCTAGTAGAACATGTAGGCAGAGCTTTTATTGAACGAGATACCCATAACACTTCTATCGTCCTGATTTCAGTTCGAGATCGACACCATTTACAACTTGATAACTCGTGGATCATGTTGGATGTAATGAATGAGTGAAAGAACCTAACTCCTGGCACTGGCCTACAGTCGCCGCTTCACACGTAAGTTGCGGCGAATTACTCGCTGCCGGATCCACCGTTCTTGATGCAGGCGTCGGAGAAGTCGCCGCCCTCCATCAACTTGCCGGGAGACTTGCAGGTGATGGTGGTTCCACTGTTGGAGAGGACGCAGTCAGAGCAGAAGCCGGGGCAAGTCTTTCTGGTCACGTCGTTGTTCTATCATTTTGTCAGCTCCGTTGCGCTTAACTTCTATCTGATGAATTTGGAGTGCGAGCTTACGGGCAAGCCGACGATGAACTGGCCGCTACCACTGGCGGTGATGCAGTGGAGCTCGGAGTGCTTCTTGGCGGCAACGCTGTCACTGTTAGCAAATGATTGAACAAGACATTCAACGAACCCAACAGTGTGGTTTTGATTGTAT